CCTCACACTGCCTCCTGCTGGGGGCCGAGAGAGCAGACCCCCTGCCCAGCCCACTCTGCCAGGAGGGAGAAGGGCACAGAGCCCACTCTCTGCCCCTTACCCACACACTGCCCCCCTCGGCCCCTCAGATACTGGTGCTGGGACCCTGGGGTACAAACCCAGAGGTGAGTGTTTTACGGTCCCTGAGAGGGCAATGACCACAGGGCTCATGGGACACTCATGGCCCCAGGGTCCGAGCTGGGCATGTGGTGGACACGCCCCACCTTGTATGTCTGTGCAAGTTCGCCGCAGCTGTCAGGCAAAGTACTTGGCCAAGTCCTGAAGTGGCCACATCCCTGCTTTGAGCCCAGGATGGAACCACGTGGCTGCTTTTCTTAGTGATGAGTCCCAGTCCCTCCACGTCTCCATCTCCCCGGAACACAAACGCCAGCTGGTTCATGTGCCAGCTGACCCAGCTAGCCCACCTCTGCAGCCTCCGTCCATCCAGGTCCCTCCCTAGGATCGCCAGACAATTGGACTGGAGGGGTGGGAGCGGCCCAGCTAGACCAATGACGTTCCTTTCCCTGGAGTTGTGTCTGGCTTCGCCCACATGGAACCCAGGGTGGACCTACACTGAAACCGGTGATGGCTCAGGAGGATGAAACCAGGGTCAACGCCATCAGGGAAAGAAGGGACAGCAGGCTGAGGAGGGTCCCACAGCTTCCAGGTGCGTGCAAGTCCTACCCCTACTAGGTGTTCTGCTGTGCAGTCATCTGGCATCCCCTTGACTCCATCCTATCTCTCCTGAGATCTAGAGTCTCCAAGGCTTTGATGTGTGTGAGGCTTGTTCAGGAAAGAACCAGGCATTATATTGAGCTTCCTCTGGGCCAGGCACCATGATCTATCTATTCACTTAATTTTCAAGGAGTCCTAGGAGTCTGAGGCCATTAGTATGTTAGCGAGAACCCAGGCACAGACAGGTTAAGTGACTTACCTGGATTCACACAGCCATAAGAAATGGGATTTCAAACAGGCAGAAATTCACACTTCTGTAGAACTCTGAATTTGTCATTTTCACTCTGGGGCTGGGACATAGTCAGCAGTAGAGCACTTGCCTAGCAAGCATGAGGCTCTGTATTCAAACTCCAGCATCATAAAATAAAACAACAAAAGTTTCACTTTTCCTGATGAAGACAGAAGAGGATCTCTATTATGTGGGTTGGTTGAATTTCCGGCGCCTTCACAGTGACCCATCTAGGAAAACCATCTGAGGTCCTGGAATGCTGTGCAGGCACCACTCCTAGGCAGTTCCCACTGGGCCTGCTCAAGGACAGGTGGACATGCACTGGAAGGCCAGGTGGACTGGTCCAACGTCAGACCAAATGGGGCAGGCTGACTTCCACTCCTGTTGGGCCACTGGCCCAGGGCAGAGGGGCACTGAGTGGGTCTGACAGGGCTCTAATGTCACATCTGCCCCTCCCACAGACCCAGGCATAGGGCAAACAGTTACACCTGGCATCAGTTAGCCACCCAAGACCACGTGGCCTGCACAGGCTTCCATTGCCCTCTGGGGCCTTAAAGACAGGCTGACTGATTTCAGCAGTTCATGCGTGAAGTACTGGCCCCGTGATTGGCAGTGGGGTTGGGCGCCCCCACACATACATTGGAGGCCACCAGCCATGTCACTTTGGAAAGGCTGCCCAAGCTTCTTGGCCTCAGTTTCCATCTCTGTGAAATGACAACAATGGTAAAGATTTCATACCTCCAACCCTGTTGCCCAAAATGCTTGGGACCGGAAGTGTTTCAGGTTTCAGAACATTCCAGATTTTAGAATATTTACACATATATAAAGAGATATAATGGGAATAAGACCCAAACCTAACTACAAAATTCCTGTATATTTTATATACATACTCAGCCTGGAGGAATCTGTAATAATTTTGTGCATGAAACATAAGTTTCAAGGTGTAAAATTTTCCACTGTGGTGTCATGACAGCCCTAAAAAAGTTTTAGATTTTGGAACATTTGGACATCAGATTTTCGGAATTGGGATGCTAAACATGTACATAGGTTATGGGTTGACTGTTGGGATTAAACGCAGTTTGCTGATTCCCAGACTGCAAGACAGTGGCAGAGCCTAAGGATGCCCTTCCTAGCCAGCTGAGAGCCCAGGTATGGGTGACCCTAAATAAAGTGACAGCAGAAGTTTGGAGGACATCTGTGAGTCCTCCAATGACCCCCCTAACCCAGGCAATCTGAGGCCATGCACCCAGACCCCTGTCACCCCCACTGCTGCTCCTGCTTCTAACCCATCATCCTGAGTGAGGCTGCCCACTGCACATGAGCCCGGAGTACATTAAGAGTGCTCTTTAGAGTGCTCCACTAATAAATGAATAATAACAATTTATCAATCAGTCAACCCTTGGGGTCCGGGCCTCCTTCCCAGTCTGAAGCCCCGCTGCCTTTTTATAGTCACATCATGAACTTCTACAGACAGAGCAGCCACAGAGACCCCAGTGATGGCTTCCCTAAAGGATGCTTGGTGGAGGACGGCCTCCGGGGTCTGACAAGTCTGTCCGTGCTGGAACAGGACTGACTCTTGGAGGCATGGGCACTGGGGATGAGCTCCGGCTAACTCAGGGGCCCCTGCTTTGCCCCAGCATCTGCTAAAAGGTTCCTGAGCCAAGGCCCCCCACCACCCCACCCGCTGTGGAAATTCCTGAAAGCTTTCCATTTGCACACTGGCCAAAGTGGAGCATTAGAGGCGCAGACTCCACCCCGCCATAAGGAACAAAGGCAGAACCTGAGCTGCCCGGCTTTCTTTGAACTCTTCTAAATTTATTCGGGTATTTAAACAAACAGAAACTACAGCATGCATCAGTTACTTTTTTGCCTTTGTACAACAAAACTAAGTACTCGATATCTCTGCAGAGGTTCGGCTCTTGCTTGTTTCCTTTCTTTCCGTAACGTCAGGCAGACTTTCCGATGTTATCCAGTTTTGCACAGTCACTAGAGTGTCGCGTCATGAATTATTAAATCAGTGCTTCGTGGTAATACATAATTTCTTATCAATTATTCATGCTAATGTGTGTGTAGTTTACTTAATTGTGTTATTGACGATCAAAAGTAATTTCCTGAAAGTCCTCAAGGACACAAAATTTAATCAGCGTAACTACTTTTCGGATGCAATGCTGTTAAGTATTCTTAATTTGCCCAACAGTTCACTTATTTATGTACCTTTCTGGAGGAAATACGAGTTTAATCAAACAATTAGATTGAAGAGTTAGTGTGCATAAGGGCTGGAGCTTACATCGTTCAACTGAACATTCGTAATTACAGGGAACGGAAGCTACTTTGCCGCTTTTTGGCAAATCGTTTCATCTTTGTACTTAACAAGCAAAATACAGCAAGAGGAAGGAGCTGATGTTTTTTAAAGGAGACAGTGTATTTTATCAAATGCTTTGCAGGAATCATGAATGAGGCACAATAAGCTTAGGACAATTATTTGGGGGGTCCGGGAGGCTAAAAAGGGGGCAAGGGATGTGAAAGTAGAACCTTTTGATTCTAGTAACTGAAAGGAAAATGACCATCATAAAAGCAGTAACTGCAATGGAACACCATGAACAAAAGCCACCAGAGACTGCGACCTTCCAGGCACCGGGCGAGGACAGAGCTCACTCTATTGCACTTTCCCCCTTTGATGTCTTAGAGGTCACCATCCACACAGAGAAGACAGCCATGCTGGACAGCAACAGAACTCTCCGTGAAGTTTGGCCCTTTGAATAGATGCACAGGGCCCAGGAGGAAGCCACCTGCCCTAGGCTCCGTCTCCTCACAAGCCAGTCCCATCACACCATCATCATATTTCCTTTATCTCCTAGTAACAAGCTTCCCACTGGCGATTCCAGAAAAAGTGGTAATCCAGATGTAAGTGGCTTTCAGAGGCGTCCTGGGCTCCAGGGTCCCCCTTTTCTGGGCCAGACAGCGACTCCACAGTTGGTCACCCTGCCCACCTCCAGGTCCCTTTAGGGGATAGGCAGGACACAAGAGGGCTCTTCAGGGGAGGGGGCTCAACTTGCTCTGCACCCCAGAGTCATCTGGGCAGTTCCAGAAGTCAGTGGTGGCCATGTGACAGCTGTGCCAGTGAGATCCAAGAACCATGCACCCAGGGCAGGCTGTGTCCTGTGGGCCTTCCCTGCCCATACCCGCCCCCTCCCACCCAAGTCCCAAATCTGTACCTCCAGGGCAGACACAGGTTTGCTGCTCACCCTGGCCCAGGGAACCACAGTTGGCTGGGCTTTTCCCAGTTCCAAAGTTCTTAAACAATGTGACAAACGTTCCCACTTGATACCATGGAGACAGCCCTGGGCATCTCTCAAGAATGACCTGTTCTTGGGGCTGACCAGATGTCCAAGGTTACCCACCCAGGAAGGGCACAGGAGGGGTGGTGGTGTGAGTTGATCTGCCTCCCTCCAAGATTCCTCCATAAGGTCTCATGACAGAGGCCATTCTAGTGCCACCCTGGACCAAGGAGACCCTGTCACTTAAGAAGCCAAGACAATGCAGCCCACCAGTGGGACCCCAGAGAGACTCTCCAGGCATCTAGAGAGCTTCAGGCCTTGATTTCCCCTCCCAGGCCCCCAAGAAGGCTGGCTGCAAGTTGTCCTTGCTGTTGAGGGTTCACAAGGCCAAGGTGGGGAGAGGCAGCAGGTGGGGAGGGTGAGGGCCACAAGGCCCTGCTCCCTCATACACCTGGCTCACCCTCACTCTGGTCCTTGGTAGATGGTGTCTTGTCCTGGCTGCCATCTGGGGGAGCAGGCTTGGCCGTGGGGCTGGGGCTGCTACTGGCCGGTGGCAGGAGGTTGGCGGACTGCAGCACAGCCTCTGAGTGCTCTCGGGCCTTCATGCGCAGTGCTGCCACGCTAGCCGTGCGGTTGCTCTGGCAGCCGTAGGTGGGCAAGAAGGAGAGTCCCATTGGGTCCGGGACACAGCAGGAGCAGAGAGGGCCACCTGTGGGATGAAGAGACGGTAGGCTGTCATGGTCCTGCTCTTGCTCTGTCTGTTTAGGGGCTGGGGTGCGACATGGGCTGCATTTCAAGTCCAGAGGGTGAAGGAAGTGCTTAGGACCCCAAAGATGTTCACACAACCTCGGAGCCCCGGAAGACCTGTCTGACTTCACCCTCAACACAGCCATGTGGATTTAGGCAGGGATCTTGGCTGCTCTGAGCTTTGGCCTACACTTCTATAAAATGGGATAACACTGCATCATAGATCGTGACGAGGGTGCCAGGAAGTATTCCACACTCCCTGAGAATGCTCTGAGAGGCACTGCCCGGGTACTTTAAATGTTCAGAAGAGTCAGTGACAACCATGAGACACCTTGCAAGCTGCTGGCTGGCACTGCTTCCAGCTTGGGCATGAGACCACGCCATGTTGTTTGCAAGAGTGTCATGCCTCTGCGGAGCTGGATTTTGTAAGCACCACACCAAATTCCACGAGGAACATAAAATGAGTGTGGAGTGTCCACAATTAAGGAAGTCAAGCAAAGTCCATGAGAAAGGACGCAGCTCTTTTACAAAAAACAAAACATGCAATTTTCTTTCAGTTTGTAAGGTTTTGTTTTTGTTTTGTTTTGTTTTCAAATGTCTATGAGGCTGTTGGGACATAGTACTGACCTATTTGGGTCTAAGCATCTCCTGCTCAGATCTGTTAGGTGTGGCTTGGCCCTGTGGTAAAGTGGAGTGAGTTTGCGAATGAGGTGATAGTTCGAAAGCTTGGCCGGGCCCAGCCCCTTGCTCAACCCCCCACCCACCCACAGCCTCTCCGGCCAGCTGTGATCAGAGTCCAGGTCCACACCAAGAACAAGGTCCCAGGTCTCTAACTCCCCCTGCCACCCTCCTTGCCATGATGTGAAATCTTCTTTGCAGCCACGTTGGAGGTCATAGCCAGGAGAAATAGGTCCATGTTCCTGGGGCCTTTGAAGCCACTCAGACCAGGGTGACTTGCAGAGCTCAATCTTCACCTACAGCTAGAATGTCCCGTCTCTTCTTCCTCAGGGGCAGGCCCAGGCACCATCCTCACTTCAATTTGAGGATCTTTCCCTTCTTCCACCATCTGCTTCTGCTCTGGGGTCACAGGAAGCCACCATCACCATCACCTCTCAACACCATGACAGCCAGTAGAGGTGGGACCAGCACTCTGGTGACCTTGGTACTGTGGCAGGGTCAAGTGCCTCAAGTGACATAAAGGGAGCAGGAAGCAGATATCAAGAGGGACATGAGACACATGGCCAAGACCAAGTGCACAGATTCTGACCTGCTCCCCTGTTCTGCACTGGGCTGGCCTCCAGCCTGGCCATGGATAGTCTCACTCTGGGTATGACTGTGCCACTGCTCCCTCTGGCACCATACCCTGGATCCAGAAGCCTTCCTGAGGGTGGGGATCCCAGACTCCTGTCCCCTCCACACCCCTCTGAAGGGTACTCAGGTCATGGAGAACCCAGGAGGAAGAGACTGGAGTATTAAGGACAGGTGCCTCTTGTGTGTGGGGAAGGGGACCCAGGGATTTGTGTTTTCCTCTCTGTATCTGTTCAGGACTCTTTGCATGTTTCTACAACCAATATGAATTTCTTCTAAACCCAGAAATAGGACTTGAATCATAAACAAATATAGAAAGAGAAGAATGGAGATGACCAGGCACATCTGAGAGGAGGGCAGCAAGAGCCTGGGCAGTCCTGTGACACCATGTGCTGAAGGTCCCAGGGGAGTGTGGCCAGGGACCTGGGCTGTCTTGTCAGGTCCCGGGAGGGGCCACCACTCAGGCTGAACCCTAGTAGGGTAGCCTGGTGTCAGCAGCCCAAAAAAACTGGCTCCTGTCCCCCTCCCAGCTTGGCCTTCCTCCAATGTGACATGAGAGGTGACAATGACCACCTGCAGGCCACAGAAACCACACAGCCCCTTCCCCTGCACTACCATGTACCCCAGGAAAGCCACTGGCAGTGACACTCCTAGCCCCACACCCAGATTCACAGGTTAAGAGGAATTTATGCACTTACAGAAACATGGCAGTGGCTGGAGAGTCTAAACCCATGGCCTGGTCCCCATCCCATTCCGGATGGGGAAACTGAGGACCAGAGGATGCCAAGGACTTGGGAAGACCCTGTGGAACCGGAAGCACTGCATGCACAGTGGGGTGACACTGCTCTAAAGAGCTAGGACCCTGGCCCAGGCTGATCATGAGCCTTGTGGAATGAGGCTGTCCCAAAGGAGCAGGCGCTCTGTGATCCCACTTCCATGCAGGGGTCTGGGCTGATTGAGAGAGACAGAAGGCACAGGGACAGCCACTGGGGAAGAGCGGGTGGAAAGCAGGTGTTCAGTGCATGCTGAAGTTCAGTTTCCTAAGATGGAACTGCTCTGTGATCATTTGCAACTCACTAAGTTGTCCTTGGGTAGCCACAGGGGAGGGGCTCTGGGACCCCTGTGAGCTCCCAGTCCAAGGGTGCACAAGCCCTTCAGGATAAAATGGCACAGCCATAGCATGGACCTCATCTGTAGATAGCATATCATACCCACCACGGTGCTGATGTGTTATCCACAGCTGTCACGCTGAGTGACTTAGGGAACAGTGTGGGGGGAGTCCCACAGGTTCTGTGAAGATGCGCTTTTTCCTAATATCTTCTGTCTACAGCTGTTTGGATACAGAACTCCGGGCCTAGAGGGGTAGCTGTGTACTTCATGTGAAATATACATTTAAAATGGTAAAATTTATATTAAGCTTACTTTAGAAAATATAATAATCATTTTTAAAAAAAAAAAAACTATCAGGGTCAAAGGGAGCTCCAGCGAAAGTGGCCCAGGAAGTCAAATGCCATGTAAAGCTACTGAGCCCCTTGCCTGGCTCCTATAGCCACTAAAGACCTCCAGAGTCCCTCAGGCCCACCTCACTGCCAGGTCAGGGACTAAAGAAGCATCCTGCAGTTTTGACCACCAAGATCACAGCTCTTGCGGCCTCCCCACTCCTCTGCACCTACATCTAGACAGCAACCAATGTGTCCATCAGAGGGGACACAGCTTGCCAGGGACTCCAGTATCTAAGCTGCAGCTGGAAGCCACTGGCCGTGAGGGGGAGGTCCCAGAGGCCATTAAAGGGCCATTCCCCTGCATGGGAGAGGGCAAGGGTGGAGGCCTAGATCTGTGTTTCAGAAATGATCAACTCTGACAAGCTGATATATACCAGGGAGAAGGGTGCAGTCTACAACAATCTGCACCTAAGGATCCAACTGTCCTTTGCAGACGTAGCTCTGCAGGGAGTATGCTGAAGGTATGACCTCATGGGAGGATCACAGTGACCCACACAGGCAGGGGTTGCCTGCATAGAGGCAGAATCTGCTAGGGAAAGGAGGGGAAATCTTCCTCCTCTGTGTGATGACCAGAAATCTGTTACCATCCTCAGGAAAGGGCATGGGGTGGGGGAGGAGATTCCATTGATCAGGGCACACGGGCATCTTAAATTGTCCAACCATCAACATCTCCCTTAAATCTTACAGCTATGTTTCAGCTTAGAAAAAAATGACTTCTGCAACAGGATCCTTTTAAAGATAACTCCTGGTTTCCCCGTCATCTCACAGCACCATGAGGTCACCAGTCATCTCCATCTACCATCAGCCCACAGCAATGAGGACCCAGCACCAAGAGGGTTCTCAATGCCATATGATAACATTGCATCCTGATAAGCCCAAAATGTCAGCTGAAAATGCAGAGTTCTTCAACACTTACCTTGATGAGAAATTCCACAGAGCACCTGACCACTAACCCTCAGGCTACTCTTGCTTCCAGATGCCATGCAAACTAAAGGGAAATTCAAAGTCACAGTTTATTCCAATGTTTATCCCAAGTCACTGGCCTCTAGAGAGCCCAGCTTGTTCTGCACTTCTTAAGGGCACCCAGAAGAACAAGACCAGCAACAAGGCGCTGTCCATGTGATGACTCCTCTCATCAGCACCATGCCCCCTGCCTCAGCAACGCTTTGTACCCCTCTGCTCAGTTGGATTTTTTTCCTCAGTGAGGTGCTTCATTTGATCAAAAAGCAAGATGATTAAGTCCTCTTTTGTGATTATTAGGTTCCCAGACTTGGGACGACTCTGGAAAGGAGTAGGGAGGGTTTTTTGTTTATGTTTTTAATCTATAATCATGAATGGTACACATTAAAGTAGCTACAAAGGAAGTTACTCCTGTGTGATATACGGTGATGACAAGCTACCAACAGCCTAATAGCCTAGTAATAAGACACTGGCTGGATAAGCTTTAGTCACCTAAATAGAACACTGTGACAAACTTACATCACAGGAGGAGACAGCACCATGACAAAGATACTGTAAAATGCCAAGTTTAAAAAGTGGGCTTGGAAACACTGATCATCATGATCCCATTTTGGTGTTTGTGCTTGTGGTACATTCATACACAGTATAGATTGGAAGCTCATTTCCCCGGAGTTCACATGCTGAAATCTTAACCTCCAAGGTGGAAGAATGGAGCAGTAGGGATTTGGGGAGAGGTTTAGGCCTTGAGAGTCATTATAAAAGAGACTAGGGAGAGTTGCTCCAGAAGAGGATGCCACCTGTGAACTAGCCAGCACTCTGACCCTGGAGAGCAGTGATCAGAAAATCAGTGAGAAATAAATTGCTGCTGCTTATAAGCCATGCTATTTATGGTGTATTGTTACTGCAGCACCAAATGGGCTAAAATGATACATATCCGTATGGATGGGTAGATGGACGGATGAACAGCCAGACAACAGTGTTGTCACAAAGTACAGTAAATGTTTACATTTTTAAAGTTATTACAGTAAAAGACACATTGTCGTTAATTACCCTCAAAATCCTTCCCTTTACTTTAAACCCATTTATCCCAATCATTCTTGTGACTTTCAAAAGCAGACCTGGAAGCCCTCCTTCCTGAATATCTTTAGCTGGGCTGCCTCAGCATCCTGAATCTATTCGCAATGTTTACATTGTACGGTCATTTTGACTTGGGGGAAGGGCTGAAAGTCACATGTTGCTGGATCTGGTGAGGAAGGTGGATGAGGACCAGCATGTTTTCACAGCCTCCCTTTCCATCGGACAGCCCCTGGCAACAACATTCACTGGTATTTTTTGTCACACCTCATGAAAGTGTTCACAGTGTAAGATTCCAGAACTGCTTCAGAAGGTGGCAAGAGCAGTGAAATGTGTCCAAAGTGAAGGGGAGAATTCACAGCAATGTGTCTTTTACCACAACAAAACTTTTTAATTTAAACATTCATCGTATATTTCAATCACATCTCATAAATCTAAAACACACACACATTCATGTACACACACACACACACACACACAAATATGCAGTCATCCCTCAATGCCCACAGATTAATTCCCAATCCCCTGCATAAATAAAATTACATAGTATTTGAGGTGTATCTTCTTCCACCTTATTCACCTACACATCCCTGTACAGTTTAAATTGTCTCTAGATTACTCATCATACCTTATGCATGTCACTGCTATGTCAATAGTTATATTGTATTGTTTAGGGAATGATGACAAGAAAAATTTCTGTGCATGTCCCGGACAGATGTAATATTTTATCAAATGTTTTCCATCTGTGGCTGGTTGAATTTTTGGTTCTAGAGAATCCTCAGTTCCGGAGAGCTGACAGAAGGCAGAATATATGTATGCATGTATATCTATATGTACATCCATATGTCATACTCATTTGGCATTAAGGAAACATGCAAACTTATTACATGTATAAATTTCCTCATAAAATATATAGAATATAAATTTAAATTTTTAGTTAAAAGTTGTATCTTATAACTGTTATAAAATATATTTATAAGAGATGTGTATGTGGATAGATACATTTAAAAATAAGATTTTTTAAAAAGCACCAATATCAGAGTCTAATGGTTGATTCTGGGTGTTGAGATGATTTTTTTATTTGCCTCTTACTGTATTCTCTCCTTTTTATAAACTATCCACATATGACAGTCATTAAAAGGGTATCCTTGTGGCTTGTGCTGACACTTTCATTCAGCTAATGGGGACAGATGTTCTCTTTTAGAACAAAGACCCATTGAAAGTGCAAAGTGTAAAACCATGTCCTCAGCATGTAGTGAGGAAGCCAAGATGACTAATGGCTGTGCAAAGTGTTAATACAGACATGGAGCTGAGGACATGCCAAGACATGCTGAGGACGTGAAATTCTTCCAGAGCACTCACTGGACCTGTTATGACTTGGATCTTCAGTATCTCTGCAAAGCCTATGGGGGAAGGCTTGGTTCCAGCTGAAGGTGCTACTGGGAGCTGTTGGAACCTTTAATAAGTGGGGCCTGAGGAACAGAAGTGAGGTCACTGGGGACATGGCCTGAGCCCAGCCCCTCCCTCCTCTCTCTTTGCTTCCTGACCTCCATGAGGTAAGCAGCTTTGTTGCATCCTACACTCCTCATCATGATGTTTCTACATCACAGTCCCAAATGCAACAAAGCCAACTGACCATGGACTGAAACCTCTGAAACTGTGAGCAAAAACAAACCTATCCTAATAAGCTGTTTGTCTTGGGTATTTTGTCACAGTGATACAAAGTGACTAATACAGACCTGTGAGCCCCCTAGAAAGATATCATGCCATCTATGTATCCCAGCCAACTTGCACCATCACTAAAATCTGTGCCAGAGCCATCTGGCCCTTAGATGCAGCCTGAGAATTGTTTGTTGAGGGAACATACTATCTCCTGGACACTAAATTAAAACACACAATTAGATTTCCATTAAGTTACAGCAAATTCTGCTGAATTGATCTAATCGGCCTCCATTCCTTTATGACATCATGCTTTAAAGGCTTGGCTTGAACATAAATACTTAATGTAATAAATACAGTCTGAAATATTTGATCTCCTTGGCAGCTTAATTGATCTACTACAGAGACTGACAGGAAAAATTAAGTTAGTTCTGTCTCACTCTACCTGGTGCACATTCCCATCATGCAGGTGGGTGAAGGCTCATTGAGGGGTGGCCAGAGGGGGGGGGGGCTGTTTCCTCCTTGAACATGCAGGTGTCAAACCAGAAAATGAATGCATGGAATTATGAGACATCTAACACCAATGCCATAGCTCATTTCTTTTTGCTTTATAACAAAATAAGTAAGTGAATGGGTGTGTTATTTTGTGAGTCCTGGTGCCTGCTCCTGGGAGCTCAGGGGCCTACGATGTGGAGCACCCTTTCAGCTACTGCTGTTACTTGTGCTGATGACAGCCAGACATGCTGCAAGGCCAGATCATTCCTAATGTGTTGCCCTTCACTGAGGGTTCCCGTAGCACTCCCTCCTGTTCTTCAGTGGCCTTCAGGCCTTTTCAGCACAAGTTATGTTTGCTTTTGTGATCTCCTTGCTGACAAACTCACTATAAATGTCCTTCTCCTATCCCACTCCTGCACCCCTGACCCCAGAACCAAGCTGTCCCAATCTGGTACAAAGCAAACCCTCTGTGAGGATTTCAGAAAAGGAGGAGGGGAGGGAGAAGTTGTCCTTCCTAATGACTTGGTGTATTGCAGCTCCTCGGGATCACCGCCCAAGCCACTCAGCACCCCATAGAAAGAAAACTAGGATCACAACAGTTCACACACCTGATTCTTGCCAAAATCCTCAGGGTAATTTGGCATTGAGTCTCATTCCCACCTTTGCCTTAATTCCACCTGCTACATTAAGTTCACTGTCTCAACTTTCACTTATTCACTCAGCAAATGCTCATGGCAGGTGCTGATTCCACTGAGTATCCAACCACCTGGCACAGTGGTACAGTCTCAGGACTGGTGTGGACATCCTGCTTGGATATCTTCACGAGGTCAGACAAGTCATGTGAGCAACTCCTAGATCAAAGGACCCCACAGAGCAGCAGAATGCAGAGTCATGGTTCTGAGCAGGCAGGTACCAGGCAATCTAGTCCCCTAAGGGCCTGCAGAATCCCCTGCCTCCTGTGCACCCCCAAAGCCTTCTATCTGCTCCCCACACTCCAGGAACCATTGATTAGCAGTAAGGGCAAATCCACAGCACCTGCAAGAACTGACCTCCTGTAGAGGTGCTACTATAGGGTGACAACAGAGACTGCCAAAGAAACAGAATTGATGCAGAGGGGAAAGGATACCAGGTGACCCTGGGCAATTCTCTCTCTTCCCTGGGCCTCAGTTTCCCTCACTGCATCCTGGACAGATGTTCCTCACCGAGATTTCTTGCAAATCCTAAGTGCTGGATTCCACACCCCTTTATAGTTTGGGTCCTGGTCCCCAGCCTGTTGCACTGCTAGGGGAGAGGGCTTTAGAAGGTGGGGCCTTGTGAATAGAAGTTAGATCTCTGGGGGTGTGGCCTTAAGGGGATGTTGGGATCCCAATCCCTCTTCTTCCTCTCTCTGTGTTTCCTGGCCACCAAGAGGAAACAGGCCATGACAGACTGTGAGGTTGTAGGCCCCAAACAACAGGACCGAGTAACCATGGGCCAAATTCCATGTGACTCTCAGCCAAAACAAACCTTTCCTTCTCATAAGTTGAACATATAGAAAGTTGACTAAAGCAACTCATCTTCTGCCATCAGCTAGCACAGAGGCTGAGATGGGTACTGGTCTGTCCATGCAGGGCAGCCACATTCCATCCCTTGGATTCCCTGTCCTCCAAGCACATACACCCACAGAAGCAGGCCAGGGCCTGCAAGACACAGGGGCCCCCCATCTCTAACCACCTAACAGGCAACCTCTCAAACTCACATCCTAATCCTCACAACAATGGCCAGTACTTCCTAGACACTTGGGTGTGCCAAGCACAGGTA